TACACAATAGCAAAGGCCATCAGAAATGTTAAGTCAGAATTTCACATCAGTCCCAGTCATAGTCAGTCCTAACCTCCAACATTTAAAAGTTTATATTTTTTTAATAATGCTCATTGTTTGCTGGACGTAACATAACCTTATGCTTAGAAAAAACGATCACTGAATTTAATTTTGAACATGAAGAAAATCTAGAATTGGTAGCAGAACTGCCCATGTCCTGTGTTTTCATATATCTAAAAAAAAAAAAAAAGCAAAATTAGACAAAGATGTTTGAAAGTTCTGTCAAATTACGCTTCTCAATAATAATAAAAACGTTAGTGCAGTGTAATTTTCATTTGCTGTGCTGTGACACAACTCACCCAAGGAGACACAATGAGATTGCATTGAGAAACAGATAAAATATTAAATATTTATAAACTAAATTAACTCTTTCATTATCCCAATGCTCTAAAGTGAACACTCCCACAAAATACACTACAATAACGCAGGACCAGACTATGAAGATTGCTTGCTTGGCACTGCTGGGATCTCATATGGATAATGGGGTAAGAATAACAACATACTCTTATTGTCTCCTACTCACTAGGTTGTACCTATTGGGTTCAGCCAAACAGAGCTGGCTCTCTAGCATGGAAGGTCATGACAGGTTCCCATTCTGCAAGGGGTGAAGGGAAGCTGAAAGAGCTGTCAGACACCGAAATTACTGTCCATGACGGTCATATCTTCTCTGAATAATGCAATCATGCACATGATCTCCCTATGGTGGTGTGTCTTTTGGAGAAAAGGTAAAGCTGAAGGCCAGACTTCACAAGATATACAGAGACATAAGAGGCTTTTTGAAACAAGGTATCAATCGTGGTTCTCCTTTATCTTAAGGTGGCCACCCTGGGAATACGAACCCCAAAATGCTATATTTTATTTTCCACCTTCCAGTCTGTTTCGTATTTTTCATTGCATTTTGTTATAGTAAAGAGGATGTTTTTGTAGTTCTTGTACCGTGTACACAGCAAAACTTCCATTAGCGGTCAAGTTACATGACAGAGCTTGTTGTAACACTCCAGAATGTTTTAATCTAGGAAGGGAAAACACAAAGAAAATTTGCATTTGGGAAGAATATAAAGACTTTCTTGGGATTTTTGTAAGTTTTTAAAAAAATAAACAAACACATTTTAATGAAAATGTCTTGTTATGCTTTTTCAAGGATGTAATAGCTAATTCATTGATTTCAACATCAACATTTTTTGTAAAGAAAAAAAAGTTTACATTACTCATTTGCAAATGGACATGATTCAATGCATTTTTGGCCATTGCCATTATTCTTTACCTATTAAACTACTCTGGTTTTGGTTGCATTTCCTGATGTGGCAGTCTTTATGTCCTGTGACATCAGTATATCACATGCCATCTTTTTTTTTTCCTCAGTATTTATTGGAAAGTTCCACCCTCAGATCTCCCTGAGCACAGCAGCAGAGCCTGTGGGAGGGAAGCATAACCCACAACACAGGAGGACGAGACATACGTAAGTCAAAGGGAGCAGATCAGCTACATCCAAGGATTTTGAGAGACTTAACTCATAGTAGTGAGGCCTTTTCCATTTTTGTAGGGTAATCCTGGGAAGACCCAGGGAAGTACAAGCTGGCCAATGTTGGGAAGCTTATGGAGTAAATCTTCCTGGAAGCCCTTTTCAGGCACATAAAAGACAAGATAGTGATTGGGAAGAGCCAGTATGACTTTGTCAAAGGCAGATGACATCTGGCCAACTTTATTGCCTTGTGTGATGAGATGACTGGCTTCATGGATGAGAGGAGACCAGTGAATGTGCTTTTATTTCAGCTTTACCAAGGCTTTCTGCAAGATCTTCTATTTACTCCTAAAGAAAAGGGTGAGATATGAATTGGATAAGTGGATTTTATACGATGTAAAGGAAATTTGCTTGACTGCAAGGCTCAGAGGTTTGTGATCAGTGACACAAAATCCCAGTGGCATCCAAATGATATGAATTGAATGGAATAATCCCAGGCAACAAGACAGTCTGGGAAAGAAAGCAGTTTTGCAGAAAAGACATAGGAGTGAATAAGGCCAGATACAGAGTTCAGTCAGCAGGTTGAAGGAAATGATTATTTGCCTCTGGACTTTTGAGACTGCTTCTGGAGATATACTGACAGACTTCAGTGAAGGTTCACCAAGTTGGTCATGGGCTGGAGCACATGGCATATGAGAAGAGGTTGAGAGAGCTGGGTCTGGTCAAATAAGGTTCACAGCAGACCTTATTGCTGTCTACAACTTGCTAACCAGAAGATGTGGAGAAAACAAAGCCAACTTCTTCTTGAAGATGCAAAATGACAGGACCAGAGCGAAAAGGTGCAAGACTCGGCAATAGAAACTCCAGCTAGGTATTACAGGAAAAAAAATTACAATGGGAGTAATGAAGCACCAGAACAGGTTTTCTCCTTGGAGATACTCAGAAGTTGATTAGACAGGACCCTAAGCAACCTGAAACAGCTGGCCTTGCTTTGAGCAGGAGTTTGGGCCAGATGTCCTCTAGGAGGTCCAGCCTACATTATTCTACTAGTCTTTGAATGACTTCAGTGAATTTTCATAGTGGATTAATATCTTACTTCTGAAGGGTCTGAAACTAATCTAACATTTCTGTCAAACAACGTGAAGAATACATGACTCACATAAAGGTTATTTAGCACATTTGGGTGCATGCAATATTTTTCACTGCCATTATTTTTGAATAAAAATCCCAGTCATGCTGACAATGTGAGGTATAATATGACAGGTTTACATTATCAGGAATCTGGATGACATATAAAATGTCTTTGATCCAATTCTTCTAAAATGAGGCACTATGACATAAACACAAAGTTTTATACAGAATTTGTACCTGTGAAGTGCTAGGTTTATAAAAAAATATTTAAAAATAATTTACTAAACTGTTTCCTTAATTGATCTTTGAACATTTTATAATAAAAATATGTATTATTATATACAAATTAAAAAAAAAAACAACACAGAGATGAATAGCACATAGGAAAAAGCAGTTTGGGTCAATCAATGTTAAAACTTGCCTTATAAGGTAACGAATCTCCTGTTAGTATGATTGCAGATGGCTGATTCTTCTACACTGATAATTATCATTACCACTGGGACAGAGACCCCTTATGTACATATGTGTACCTATGCCACTCCAAAATTTTTAAATTAACTAAATACTGACTTTAACATGTTACATTAAAAATATAGTAAATATATTTAAAAATAAAATTTTTGAGGATATATAGGCGTAAATATTATATTTAGCTTCAATCTAATTCTGTTTAATACTTTTCAAAATGAGATGTAAAATAAACAGCATATTACCTAAACATAAGAAAAACGAAAGAAAATGGTCAAGAAGTACATGACTGCTGAAAAATCAGAATCTATTTAAAGTTTGGTTCTTATTAATTCCCATTTTTATCCAGTGCAGTGTCAAAAAGTCAAAAAACAAGAGAGCTCTCTGCTCTATGGTTTTAGCAATGTTTAAAGAGTTGGATAAAAGATCAAAACGCAGACCATAAACCCTATTAATACTCAAAAGACATTTTTAAGCATACAGGATCTTGTAAGCCTTACCAAAATCCAAAACTTATTTTAATTATTGCTTACAGTGGCTAGAAGTCATTACATTCCCCTTTCCAGATTTTATGTGGATATGCTTATATGATAGATAACTGACTAGAACATACAAAAAAAAAGACATATACCTGAACACAAAATAAGTTTTGATTTGGCATAAGTTCCTTAAATTCATTTAACTTTGAACCTGATACTTATCCCAGTGACTTATAACCCACAGTGTTTCACATCTTTATGGCAAATAAAAAATAAATATTACTATGTAACTCTAGCCATCCTTTTCATAAAGCCATTTCTTTTCATAATAGTTCCTTAAATATAGTCAACTTTCTGCGTGTATTTCTAAATTTTAAAAAGTTATTTATTACTGTGAGACCATTGAACTGGATCTTCACAACACAGCTCAACTGTGCGGTCAATGGTTTCAGATGCTGTGCTGCCCAATGACTCCTCTGCTTACCCAACCATCTCCAACAGAGAAGCGACACAGCCGCAGCGATGAGCCTGAGCAAATCAGCCAGGACAGATCCCACAAGGAACCAAATTCTTTGCTCGTGAGCAACGGTTGTCGTGTGCTCCTTGCATGTGTAGTTTTGAGGCCCCAATTCGGATACATCATCTTCTGAGCATATTGTTTCTAGACATGAAGTGCATTTCTGAATTCATGTAAGCAATGCTCAAGGGGATACTTCAGAGTTGTACAAAGTTTCATTCACACCAGAGTCTTTTCAGCACAGGATACATGAGGAATCCAGTGGAAAGACTCTCTTAATGAGCATGACCAGATGCAGTTATCATCAGTGGGTTTTATCTTGATTCTGCAAGCCCTTCATTACCTCTGATAATGAAGGATTTACTACTTATTTTAGGTTACCCTACTTGTAGAAGGAACACTGTGCTTATGCAGTAAATGCTAAAAACATCTCTGAAACTTAGGAGGTTTTCCTCCTAAAATTTTTAAGAGACAAGTTCCCTTACACAGTTTGAAGTAGCATGTTCTGCCTTTTTGCTCTGTGTGTTTTTAAAATTTGAGATACCTACAATTTTTCAGAAAGAACTTAAAAACATATTGTACAGACAATAAATTCCATGGTGTCATCTTTATTTAGTGCACAATAGGAGAAGCATGGCTGGGTGGGGTGAGATTTGCTTATTTGGAAAAGTCAGTACTACTGTCTACAAAAGACAGCTAAAGTGACCTGAAGTGCATAACAGCTATTGGTCATACATTCTCATGGATTTCTCTGGACATGTGTAAATGCTGTAAGCACAGAATATATTCCAAGAAGTAAATAATACTGTTGCTTTGTTGCACCAAAAGGCGCAGCTAAGCAAGTCAAAGACAATATTTAATAAGATTTTTTTCCGTACTGTACCTTTTCATCCAAAGCCTTATGGTGCTCAAACAGAGATTTCAGAGCTTTGAGGACCTCAACTTCACTGGAAACTCCTGAGGGAGACTGTGCTTGCCGTTTCACCACTGTCATCCTCAGTGACCTTTCGTGTCTTGAGACAAGGCACTCCAAATGTTCCAGTAACAGCTATTGGATTTGATAGAAAAGGTTGTTAATTTTTGTGCATCTAAATGCTGTGAAAATTCAAAGTACAAAGTGCATAGTAGTAAACACAATTTTCTTGGCAAGCTCATTGTAGGAGAGACTGCTGGCATTATTGAGAACATTTCATGACTCTGAATGAGATGGAATAGGAGACATACTCATGATTTCACTTAAAAATCTGCTATGGAAAGCAAGAACAACAAATTACTCAGCATAGGGTCACTATTTAACTAAATTAAATACATATTTACAGTATTATTTGAGATCGTAATTGATAAGCTTTAACAACGAAGTAACAACCAAAGCCATTCAAGTGTATCACGAAAAAATAATAATGAATTATAAATAAGTAATCCACTCCAACTGTAATATATTTTCACTTTATACTAGGAGTTACTTAACAATATATGTAAAAGTAAACAGTATATTTTACTGGTTTTAAGATTATTCATTCAAAATGCCTTAGCTAGTGGTGTTTGTCACTACCATGTACTCTAAAATGCTCACTGTCTCTGTTGTATATACAGACATCATGGACGACAGAAAGGTCCATAGAGAGAAATTTCAGGCAATTGTAAATATTTGTAGAATAATCTGTAAATAATCTATTGTGAAAACATGTGATAATTATTTTTCATTATTACTCTGAGGTCAAATGAAAAATTAAAATGATATGTCGATGTTTTACAGAAAATTCCCCATTTGTTTATACTTTCATAGGACTATCATTGCTGTTATTACTGTCTGAACACAAAAGAGAATTGGTTAGATGTACGATTAAAGGAGGGTAACTAAATTAACGAAATGTAGCGCATGTTAAATGTATTGTAATTACAACATATAATCGAACTGGAAATGTGAATGTTACATGGATAATTGTTTATTATTTCTCCTTCAATGTGTTTCTTAATATACATACTATTAGTAAAGATGCATATTTATCTGTAATCCATATTTATTCTCAATCACATAATGATCTTTATGGTTACATGAATTAGTAGACATAGAAGAGCAAAAGCAGAGTGTAATTACAACAAAGTTGTAATATATTGCTATTAAGCCAGGAATGATTAGGGTTTGACGTTATCTTGCTTTAAATGTGGGTCTTATGTCTGGATTTGCACCTGGTTATTATGTTACAATGACTGTATTATTCATAAAAAATAGTCAACACATATGAAGACAATGTTAATACATTAAGAATTTTAATGACTCCACATAGTTCAAGAAAGGAGGGTATTTCTACCATTTCTGCATTCAAGTGATAGCCTGTATTTATCAAAAACAAATGAGAAAGAAATTCATGAGGTTTGTCATCCTATCCCTGTAGGGCTGACAGCACATAAAAGTGGATTTTTAATTACTTGAGACAGTTCAAAATCACAGGTAAATTTGAGGAGACTTCTTAGTCACAGAACCATAAGAAACTCTGTACGGGGCTGTGGTAAGGTTGTAACTCAAACTAGATCAGAATAGCTTCCAAATACTTACGGACCTTCTAATGGGGTGGTTGTGGAGGAGTTTACTATGTGGAGTGGACAGTGTAGCACCCTAGCCCTTTGTAGAGCACCAGATAACATATTTAACTTTAGGTTAAGCTACTGCTGTGTTAGAAAACATGTACAATATATAGAACTAATCTAATGGAAGTCATCCATTTCATAAACACAGAAGCTAATTTTACCTTTAGCTTTGAATTACCATTATAGAGGTCACAAAACCATATTACAATATCTGTAGATATTTCATAGCCATTAAATAAATTACATAGAAAATATTGTTGCCTATTTTACTGCATAAAGACAGTTGAACTTACATCACAGCTAAATTTCAGAATACTCATGGAGTACTACTGCACTACATGTGAACATTTCATGCTTTTTCTTTTTGTTGTTATTCACTCAAGCTACTCAGCAGTTCATTTTTCTGGAAACTACCACTGAACACTGGAATATTCCTTACTGGTAGCCCTAAGAATACTCAAGAAGGCATGCTGACATAGGCTTGTAAAACTCCTTATTTTTACTCTTTGACAAAAGTCAATTCTATCTCCCTGGAAATTCTGTAAGCATTGCTGATAGCACATCCAGCTGAGCAAAAAGTATTATTAACTAGGTGTCCTCATACTACATTATTCCCTTTCAGCCATGCTGAAAGGGAGGAATAACCCAAGGGTTAGAACACCTGACTGTGACTGAACACCTGATGGAAAAGCCTTGGCCCCTGCTCTGCTGAAATGACACTGCTATTTCACCTGTCTTTCCCCCAGCTACGATTACATTTAAAAAGGAAAAGGGGAATACATCTTCCCTACTTCACCAGAAAGAGCAAATGTAACATAGTTTCCCGTTGATACGATGATGAGAGAAGGGACATATATAAAATTGACACTGGAGATAATGGTGTGTTCAAGTAATGTTTAAGGGCTGAAGGAGATCACAATAAATTGAGAGCATGGGGGCATGTTGAGGACTTTCCCCCTCCATAATTAGAGAATTATTATTCCACATATTTGTGAGAATACCACAAGATTTCATGTCGAAATAAAATTGAAACAATATCAGTAGTTCATTTAAACTATAAAAAAAAATTTGAGAAACAGCTTTAGGTATTGTAGTATGTTGCATTTAAACTCTGGCATTAAGAAAGATCATGGGCTGCTGAGCATTTTCTGCTCCCTCACACTTTGTCAAGCTGCTACAGTTGTCCATCACTCAGAGGGACAGGCAGCTTGCAGAGAAAAGACAACGATGATCAACAGTCGCAGTCAGGACAGAATTACCCACGCATCATTGTTATGTTTTTCCATAAGCTTGACAATGAATTATGAAATAATCTGACAAGTGAATTTTACTCTTATGATGGGCAAATTTTAGGATGCTCAACATGTCGTGCTGATAAATGTATTCCAGCTAAATGGGATGAAGGCTTCTGGAGCTCTAGACTCTTCAGGAGCATAAAGAATGCTTAAAAATAAGCATTTAGAGACTGAAAAATGCTCTAGTGCACATTTTGTAAGTGAATGAAATGTTTTAAAAATTATAATTAGAATTAAATCAACAAGAATGGAGAAAATTGTTAGATTATACCCAATGTCCTGTATTTCTCAAATCATTTCCAAAGCACTTACGGAAGGGATTGACTTCTATGAAGTGGAAATGCCTGGTTAAATTTAATGATATATACTACATTGGTGTAGTTTATAACCTACCTATATTATACTATACTATTATTGTTAGTACATGGATATTGATTTACATACGGAAAATGAAAAATGTGAAAACATTATTTTTTAGGAATGATGACTCAGTAACTTGAAATATGGTGTGACACAGTAGAGTTTATATTAATACAGGTCTGGGATTTTAATCAATATAAAATATTTTATCTTTAGTTTCAGTAAACGTGTTTGTAAAAAAAGTTCACAGCAGGATAATAAATTAATAAATTACTGAATCAAGAGAGGGTGATGGAAAGAAAAGGAGAGGCATAAGTAATGGAAAACATGGAAAAAATATAAAAGATAAGGGATTTACTAAAGTGAGACAAACTTAGTTTCAGGGATTACTTAGAGGAATGGGACAACCCACTGAAAAGACAATTCTCTTTTGAGATCCAGCTTAAAATTTCTCACCAGCACAGGCAAAACTGAATTTCCTTTCAGCACATTTAGAATGCACATTGTTCAGTGATTCTCCATCTCTCATGCAATCAAAAACAAGTAATATAAGCAGACATGGGGTTGAAAATTATCTCTAAAACCAGTCACAAAATCAGTAATTTTCTTCAGCATTTTTCCACAATGGCAGAAAAAAAATTGCACCTGAGGTTAGATGGGGTGACCTCAAATAGCTATACTGGTGAACTACTAGTTAAAGTCTTTCTTCGAAAAAACAAAGCTATAGCCCATGGACAGCCTGTGTTCTGTGTCTGTCTCTGTCCAAGACAGAGAAGAGAATACCGATAACCTCACACCTTAAGGGAAACACACATATGTGAACCAAAAGTACAAAAGAAAATGTAATAATCAAGATACTGATATGAAGTAATAGAAATCAAGAAAAGTTTTTTATGAGAATAACAAACACAAATGTAATAACTGCTAGATTATAGAGTGGCTGAAAATACAGATATTGAATTGCTGTATATTACATTTACTATCTACTGTCACTGTTTTCAGGGACACATTCTTATTTCAAAAGAAGAAACATGCGAGTCTAGAAGATAGATCATAGTACTGAAAAAAACCAAAGAAAATTACTATCATTTACATTAGTGAAGTAATCTTTTGACCTTTACAGAATCTTAGGAAACAGTTATTTTAATCTATACATTGCTTTCAGACTGTAAGAACTCATGTATATTGTTTAAAAAAGAAAATGGAGTGCTCAGTTTAGTTTCAGCATCTATCAAAATGATGTAAGTAAAAGGACCTCTAAGAAAATGAGCTAAATAAAAGAGTTAAAACCATGCTTTAAAAGATATTCTTAGAGTTTTCCAATCAATATAGGGTTAAGTTCTGATCTATAGGAATGATGAAACTGATGTGCCTATTTGAAGATGTTTCTTGAACTATTCACTAAGGAATTGAGTCAATAAAATAGGAATAAAATTAAATCTAAGTCAGCCTTGTACATTTTAATATGAGCTTCAGCTCCTGAGATATTAAGTAAAAGAAATACTATGACACTGTCTCTGTTAACGCTGCTTCATTCATTTAATTTAAGCTTAGCATAGCCAAATTAGTGTTTATAATTTCCATTAAAGAATATAGATAACAGTGACTGTGTTCCAGCTTCAGAAAAGATACCTTATTTCTACATGCTCTAGGTGATCAGTCTAGCTAGAGAAGATCCACAGAAATAGTAGTTTCTCTTAAGATATTTTTGTATATTTTTTCGAAGTCCCATGCAATGATTTTCCAGAGAGAATCTGTTCAACCTATTGTCAGCAACACCACATCCATCAATACATGTTCATATGCTCTCACATTTTTTATTTTGCCTTGTGTACTGACAGACTAAGTTGCCAGCTAAGTTTCTGATATGAAAATATTTCTACTGTAGTATGTCACAAAAAGTTGGAAGCCCCATCCCTGGAAGTTTTAAGGCCAGGCTGGATGGGGCTCTGAGTAGCCTGATCTAGTGGGGGATGTCCCTTCCAACTCTGACAATTCTATCGTTCTAAGTTAATTATTATTGGCAGTAAAAATGCATATTCAACAGCAAAAGGTCAGTAGGAAATTTTGCTTAAGAATACTGCTAGAAGGATTGAGTAGGAACTTAATTAAATATTGGGGTAAGGTTTAAACCCTGGTATTTTGGCTGTAGGGGTCCTAAGGAATGTAATTCCGTCATGGTCTCTCTCTAATACACATTGCTGTCAGGGTCTGCCACTGCAGCTTGGCACAGAGTAGGCAAATCAGAATGTGTGGTGCTGTTTTGGGTTTTGTTTGCTTGTTTGATTTTGTGGAGATAGGCAGAAATTGTATACGGCTGTTGCCAAGAAATAATGAAACACATAGGTGTGGGTCTAGAGTAAAGAAAAACCTGCTAGTTAGGTATAACTTAAAATGCGAAAGGGAGATAGAAAGCTAGTGGGTACTCAGAACCTGACAAAGTTGCCATTTTTATTTCTTCTTGCTGATCTTCGGTTTGAAGCAGTAGATACTTCAAACTGTATCTCTATGCTGTTACCCCAAGGAGGTAAAGGGCTGGATTTAAAAAAAAAAAACAAAAAACAGAAATGTCAATCTGAGCACTTGGAACTAAGCCTCATTTTTTAAAAGTAGTAGGAAGTGCTACTTGGGACAAAAGTGGTTATGGTGAGTAGTTCCACCACATGTAGTTATGACCCACCCAGCTAGATCTGGGTTAAATGTGAACACTAGTGGGTTGGAAGAAAGAGACATTAGTGGGATTAACTTTATATATTAGAAAAGACATTTAATTTCCTCACTGCAAAAGTGTATCAGTCATCCTCCAAATATTATTGCTTTATGAGAATCTTTATTTTGCATTAATAACAGCATAAAATTCAGTTTGTAAAAGTGGCTTTTTATAAGCAATGCCTTCTCAATGAATATTGCTAGAAACCTCATCACTAGCATGCCATCAAGACTGTAGTCTGGAGATAGCAGCTTTGTAACTAAAATGCTTGTCTTTCCCAAGAAAAGAAGTGTACAGGAGCCTATAGAAGACAGCATGATTATTGCAGCACACTCTAGCAATTAATATAGTATATAGCAGCTTAAAGCCTGGCAAGAACATATATATGACACAATGGGTTAATAACTTATTAATGAAAATCCTAGAGGTCAGGGTAAGGCATGTCTCATTTTTTTCTTTCTCCTTCCTCGTTAATACTTAGGCTATAGCCTTCCCTTTTGTTTACTGTAATGTCTCCTGCACTTCCTATAGTTTTTCATAGCCTACATCTTTTCACCTCCAGTGAAAAGCTGCATCTTTATTCTGCAAACACACTGGTAGAGTTTACCAAATTTAACTACAAGGACTTCTTGCAAAGATTATCACACCCTGTAACTCTCATTTGTTGCTATTAGTTCTCCTGTCAAATCTCTTACCAATTTTTCTTCTACAGAACTCAAGAAATATAAAATGGATGCTTCTTGGTTTGCAAAGAAAGTGCCTATGACAGCTCAGTCTGATTTCTGTGATGACTTGCAGCTGACTCATCTTTCTTTTCTCTCACAGTTGAATGGCCAGTGACTATCTTCGGCTACTCATCTGTCTCGGGATTTTTGCTAGTTTGCATTGCTTATATCAGACCCACAGTAAGTATGTTGGAAGTTTTAACGTACCAAAGTTGGTGTTCAATGGTTTCTGTAGTGAAACGGATAAAGTATTGTGCTAAGCAGTTTGCGCACATAGAATCATAGAATGGCCTAAGGTGGAAGGGACCTTAGAGATCATTTTAATCCAGCCTCCCTGCCACCAGGGATGCCACCTCGACGAGATCAGGCAACACATGGGGACTGAACCGGAATCGAACCTGTGACCTTAGCGTTGTTAGCACCACACTCAACTGACTGAGCTAACCGGCCCCACATACTTATGAAGAACGTAGGACAACTGAGAAGATGATGTTGCAAAATTAGGTTATATTTTTTTCTGTAAAGGAAGGCAAATGGATAGATATTCTGTGCAGGAATGGGTATATGCAGATTATTGAATAGGTATATAGGTGTATATTTTAATTACATAGCTTTATTCAAAAGTTTGGGCTGGAAATTAACACAAAGTATTCTTTATGCTTTGTAAATTATTTTCGTTATTGACTTGCCTATTTTTTACCAGGAAAGATGTTACCTGAGCAGACAAAGTGCTATTAGTTTAGTGAGAGGAGGAAAACTGAAAGAACTACCCGGACCACAGAAGAACAACATACGGATTTGAGAAAACATCCTTGGTTTACAACCTCTCTGAGATCCATTCCATATGTCCATCCATCACCAGCCTGACTCCTGTCTGATCTGGGACTACTTCATCTCTTTTCTCACATCTTTGCACACCCCATCAAGCCTCCGCTGCTCCTCTCTTCCATTTCTTGATTAATTCTGCCTTTTCCCAGATACGTTACATGCAAAAATTATTTTATTCTGGTAACTATTCTGTACTCCATTCGAGAGTTTTCAGAAGATGCCATCAGATAATCTTGTTCCCAGACAGAATAACATCTTCTGGTTGAAGTAGAACATGGTAAACTTGAGGGTGAAATCTTGTCTTCACTCAGCTGTATGACAAATGACATTTACTTCAAGGGTCACATGGCTGCAGCCAGACTAAACAACAGACTGACTGTGATACATGAGGCAGCCTTCGTCTTATCCTTATTCAGATCGAATCTAAGGCACAACAGAAAGCTGGGTCTGTTGTAACCTTGCCTTTTGCCTTGATGAGAGATGAGGACACTTGCAGGCTGCTTAGGTGGGCCCTGTGTCTTGGAACGCTGCATAAGACCCTTGCTTCACAAAATGTCTAAACTGAATGTACTTACAATGTTATATACATACTCTGCTATTTTTGTAATATATTGTGCTAACACAAGTACTCAGGACTGCAGTGTGGTAGATTATTATCTTAGTTAGAACCTTACAGTTGTCATGTGCTTATTAAAAGGCTGGAATTTTGTCATCTTATTCATACAGATGAAGACCTCAATTTATATCTAACTGTATTCCTCCTGCTTTACACATACATGATATCCAGAAAAGGTCTGCTATATACTTACTCTTGTGTTGTTTCTTTCAGCTTTCAGCTCTGAAATCTCCTCCTCTTTTTCAAGCAGCTGTTCCCTGCATGCATTTAATTCCTTTGTCAGTGCAGCAAACTCCTGTGGAATGAAATTAGATATGAAGTTACTTCAAGATGTAAGCACTAGAATAATCAAATCCATATGAATCCTAGAGTTTGAAGATTTAAATAATATTTCGAAATCATCAAACAAAGTACCATATGTAAGCATTTGCATCTACTAAACCAAAAGTCTAAGCATATCTAATAACATTCCCCATACATAAGCTATCAGAACCACACCAGAAGAACAGAATTCACCTTTTTCATAGCCATAGAGACACCACATTTCACACATAATGAGGTTCAATTCAACATATGTATGACTTTCAATAAGGCCAAATACCAGGTTTTGCACTTTGCCTACAACAACTCCCAGCAGCACTACAGGTTTGAGGAGGAGTGACTGGAGAGCTGCCAGCAGAGAGGAATCTGGGAATACTGGTGGACAGCCGGCTGAACATGAGCCAGCAGTGTGCCCAGGTGGCCAAGAAGGCCAACGGCATCCTGGCCTGTGTCAGGAATGGTGTTGCCAGCAGGACTAGTGCAGTGACTGTACCCCTGTATTCAGCACTGGTGAGGCCTCAAATTCTGTGTCCAGTTTTGTGCCCCTCACCACAAGAAGGACGTTGAGCTGCTGGAGCATGTCCAGAGAAAGGCAATGAAGCTGATGGAGTTTCTCAGGCACAAGTCTTATGAGGAGTGGCTGAGAGAACTGGAGTTGCTCAGCCTGGAGAAAAGGAGCTTCAGGGGAGTCCTTATCACTCTCCACAACTACCTGAAAGGATGTTGTAGAGAGATGGGGATCAGTCTCTTCTCCCAAGTAACAAGCAAAAGGGCAACAGGAAATGGCCTCAAGCTGCACCAGCAAAGGTTTAGATTGGATATTAGGAAAAAGTGTTATCAGGAATTGGAACAGGCTGCCCAGGGCAGTGGTGGAGCCCCTTTGTTGGAAATATTTAAGAGTCAGGTAGACATAGTGCTTATGGATATGGTCTAATTGAGGACTTGTCAGTGTTAGGTTAATGGTTGGACTCAGTGATCTTAAAGATCTTTTCCAGTCTAGGTGACTCTGTGATTCTGTGTGGTATCCACTCAGCAAGTATTCTTGCCTCTCTGCAAGGCAGCTGTTGCAATATGGCATGGGAGAAAAAAGTTAAGGTATTCACTAATCAAATTTATCTAGTGGCATATTAATATAAATAACATGTGCATTGTGAAAAAAATAATTAACTTGATATTTTAATTTAACTATTAAAATGTGTTGGGGCATTATAGTAAAAGGTTGTGATGAGTCAGAGCAATACTCATGTTTGCTAGTTTGAAGTGAGTTTCCTATGGAATAACAACATAAAAACTGGATTTTAAGTTGGTCCAGATGCAACTAATAGGTTTTCTGAAAAACAAATTTTTCCATTGTCTACAAAAAGAGCAGTCAGAGATTTGTCATTCATTTCAATACTGAAAAGATTTCACTCCATATGTGTTTATTTTTGACAGACACAACATATACTAAACTATATATAGCTATAAACTTTATAAAGTTTACAAACTAAACATATACTAAACATTAATTTTGTCCTTTACAGCAAAAAGATGTTAAATGTCTCATGAAAAAAAGTGGAGCAAAGGGTGAAAAGCTTTTAAAATTTGTGAACATGTGTAAGAAAAAAAGAGATGTCTTTGTGAACAGCATCACTGCTTAACAAAGATATATACATATTTTTAAATATTAAGTTAATTTTAGTTTGACCAAAATAGTCTGTGCTTAAGAGCACGCACAAGCAGCCAGAGTTAAACTGAAGTCCTCCCCTTCTCCAGAAAAGAAAGCAGTTTAAGAAAAAAACATGTCCAGGTGGTTTATCTCATCAGTCAGTAGGATGAAGCTGAAACTAAATGTACTTATTTAAGACTAAAGCTAGCATTGATCTCAAAAGAGCTTGGTTTGCTGCTTGCCATCAAATTGCTGAAAGCAGCTTTCATCTGACCTGAAGTACTGTTCAACAGAAGCTTGGTAGGTGTTCTTAGGCTCAATCTGTTTTAATCAAGTTTCTAAATAGATAATGGTATATGGTATTATTAATAAAATATTAAAAAGTATTCAAATAGATTTTAAGTGATACTTTGACAATGTATAACTAAGATTTGGGCTTTTTTTTCTCATTTTTCAGCAGCTGGAACTGAATTTTCATGCAGACTGTATGGTAGTACGGCAAATGTTGTTCCTATATCCTCAGTGGATTTTGCTTTAGACATCAGCTACTGATCACATGAACACGTAGTTATGTTTTGTGTCCTACCTGCTAACCGGTATTTTCATTTTACACCCTAGTGGTCAAGAACTTGCAAGGCTATCTATGTAGCATATTTTAATGTTAAAGCCCTTAACTTAGCTTTGAAAATGAGATTTGAATTTTAAAACTCCTCCTTTCACTTTTCAAAATTATCATTATGTACTCTGCCTGTAGGTCTTACTGTAGGATTCTGAAACTTCAGTCCGGTGGTATTATTTTATCCAGAATTTTGTTTTAAAAATCTCCTATCCTTAAGGTTATAACTAGTATTACATATCAACGGAAAATATCACATGTAATAGAAAACCAATGATCTCAAGTCAGACTGAATCAGAATTTTGAGGCACAAAACAACACACACAAGTATTTTTTGTCTTCGTATTCCTCGAAGAGAAACTTCGTAGTGCTACAGGGTGAAACTCTTGTTACTAATTCACATTCAGTTTACACACATGGATAAGCCTCTTTAATACTTTCAGAATCCAACAGAATACACTTGCTGTGTAATCTATGCAATATGTTGGTTTATTTACATTTTCTCATTTCTTTGTATTGTTTCAGTTGGAATTAAAATAGACGTTTCTGACATATGCTTGGGCATCTGGGTGAGTGACAGGTGGTGAAAAGGATAACAAGTATCATTTCGTGACTTACAGTTCCACTTCCTAACCACAGTAAGGCAAAATAGTCTCATAAGATGCTTTTGTTGCTTCCCTTGGAAATAGAATAAGATAAGATTTTATCAAATTGTACATTCTTTGCTGTGCCAAGGCAAGCCTGCTACCGGCAGCACAATCTCTAATATTCTGGTCAATAGAAACTCAAATAACTAAGGAATAGAATTCCTACTAATTTGCTGAGCAGTATGGAGCTTATTCCTAGGGAAATTTTGTTTGGTCATCAGCTTAAGTTTTCCCTTGCTTAAAAAGAAATCACTAATAAAAATTCTGCTCCCAGAGAGTCCCATACCTAACGGTGTCCTCTCAGCCTCAAAATAACTTCCATTTATATTCAGCTGAGCTGTGTCCAGTATTTTAGACCTTTTTCCTTGAGTTACTGACACAGCCCCTTCAAGTCTTTTAATTATTCAGTTGCTGCTGGTCTACAAAGTTCTTCTGTGTTCTTGACGTATCTGCAATAATAGCACTTACAACAAGCAGTGACCTCTTCAGACCTCTGGAGCTCAAGTAGCCAACTTTCCCTCTTTATCTGAAGTACTAGTGATGGCTCAGTCAAGAGCTCTGACTTCTCTGAATTGAACGATGACAGAAAGAGTTGGTTTTTTTCTTGGTGTTTAAGTCGTAAGCTTTTTACAGGGAAAGTCCCAAAGTAAAACTGAGTTTGCCCTAGAGCTTTACAAATTATTATTTTTGTCACATCTGCTTTGATAAATTAATAACTAGGATAAAACCACACAAGAACTTGTTTTTCAACTCATGCTTCCAAAACAAGTCAAACTCATTTTAAATATACCCTTTTCATCCAAGGTATCCCTGAGTTATGACAATGTAATGCTTCAGGGAACATGTTTCTCCCACAGGTTAGAAGCAAAGATAAGCATATTTTTCTTCTACTCAGTTATATAATAAATAACATGCAATGATAACGGCCTCTGCTCGTGTAATTCCCTCCTATATATACAGGGATCAAGGGAATACTGTCATCTGGAATTACTGTTTGCAGCAGAGATCTTGCATGGTCAGTCATACTTTGGGAGCCCTAAAGGTAGTACCTGTTGCATAACTAACATGATTTGACAGGCACAACTGCACTCTTAAAGCTGATAGAGAAGTTGTGTGGCTATAAAGCTAATACAAGAACTGAAGTGAATTAAAACTGTACAAAAAAAATTATTCAGTTGATTCGACTTTTTTTATACTATACTATGACATCAGGACCCCGACAAATTTTTTTTCATAATAAACAATGCAGGAAAGAGCATCTTTTTTGTCTTCTGAATAAACATAAGCTCAGTGCCTATCTAACCTGCTGTTTCTCTTTTTCATCTTAGTACTTGGGCTATAACACTCAGTCTCACAGAAAAATAGCTGACTCAGAACCACAGCTCTTCCTTTATTCTATGTTTATCTTTGAAGAGAGGGCAGAAGCCCTGAAAACAAATTCAACATAAATTTGTAGCCACTGGAAAGATCTCTAGGCGTTACAAAAAAATAAAGAAAAAAAATGGAGAACTTTTCTCAGTGAAGCAGCTGAGATACAGTCAGAGCAGAGGCTGGAGGGAGCCTGGGAGTGTGGGAGGCCATCGGGACAGGCAGGCTGACAGCACTGCCAGATGTGTTGGCAGCAGGACTATGCAGGGGATGCACACCACAGCTCTCTTACCATTAAATCTCTTGTCTCTAGAGGCTAGCTTAACAAATGCTGCTTTCTTTGCTTATTGTTCCCAGGAAAGTCCTGTAAGGTTTAAAATTTTTATGACCAAATATGCAGAAAAGGTATATAAGTAGTCACCAAGCTGCGGGTATGCCACAGAAATTATGAGACCGCAGAGTTGCAATGCTCAAACATTCAGCATGTGTATGCAGTCCAGTATAGCGTGAGCTGAAGTGAAAATAAAGTCTCTCAACATCCTCACAAAAAAATAACTACTAAACAAAAGGAGAAATTCTGTAAGACACACACAAAAAAATAAACATACATTAAATTCAGTTTCAGAGACAATGGGGATATTCTGCTTAAAATCACCTCCTCTGGGTTTTCCACCTTTGAACAACAGCTCATTTCAGGAATGAATAAATGAACTAATCTCTGCATGGAGAAAGAAAGGTAGGGCTTTATCATTTTTATTTTATACTCAATAACAGTTATGCCAACCAATTTGCTTTCCTACAAATTTAGATGTTCATCATTTAACACGGGAAATTACTATCTACTACAATTCCCTAGGAATTTTAACTTTTCATTTATTCTGTTTTCATCAAATTCAATTAAGTAAAAAAGAAAAATTATACTTTCTTTCTTATCTTATTATTCCTTCATTGAAAATATTGTTGGAAATTCTGCATGTTTTTTTAAATGGCCAAGGATTTATTTTAGCAATTTTTCCATTACCAGCACACAGATTTCAACACTGTTGACTCCTATTAACAAGACAAAAATTGTAAACTTCTGAACGTAATTCACTTTATCTTTTTACTACAGAGAAGCCATAATAATAGTCCTTGATTCTAGATCAGGTTGAACACAAGATTTACATATGTGGGTTTGCTGTCAACCTTTTGAAATATTTAATGTTATATTTCTGCTCAAAATCAGAGTTTACTTGCACACAAGTTTTAGGTTGGAAAATACATACCCTGAAAGACTGTAACAGGACTCAAGTTAAAACAGG